TCGTAGGGCAAAATTCGGAGATAAAGGGAAAAGGCACATTTTCCTACTTTCTGCCTTTTTTAAAAGTTTCTTTGTGAGTATAGCACTAAAGTGTCATGCCCATATTTCGCTCCCACACAGTATACTTGAAATAGAAGAAAAAATGAAGAGGTTGGTTGTAGATATATCCGTTGACGATGAAATGATACGAAACAGCGTGGAATATAAGAAGCTAAGAAGAAGAAGAGCTGAAGCATTTCTCTTGCAGGCCTTCAACAGGTACCAAAAAAAAAAAGAAAACGTGGCTGATAATCCAGAATGGTGCGCCTTTTGCTTGAAAAGAGTGCTCGCTTCACAAATCTAGTAATCACCATTAAGCTCTTGCAACAAAAAAAAAAAAACGGCAGTGACGGAAGCACGAGGGTGGGGTTAATATTGCCTCAAATTATTCCTATAGTGTTCATTCACTGCAATTAGACTACCTTTACAAACTAATTTAGGCATAAATGAAGTGTTAAAATCTATACGAACAAAGTAAAATTTAATTCTTGCACATCGATGATATGAGCTATTCAAATTTTAGCCCCATTTCTAGGTTAGAGGTATTTTGGTGAGATACAGGACTGGAATAAATGGGTGTGCTAAGTCCGATATTATTGTCAGCACTAAGAAGGAGCGTTTTTTTTAGTTTGAATTAAATACACTCAGCTCTTTTAAAAAGAAAAAAAAGCAACACTTTACAGTCGTGAGAGCTATGCAAACGTGACGTTGACGTTTTGATAGTGCATATACTATCGAGATTAGCGAGCGATAAAGCCGTTGTTGAAATTTAGTGCTGTGTTGTGCCGAACGTGTCTTTATTATGTGACTGTGCATATAGTATGCGCTACTGTCAGTTATCTGGTTACACCAACAAGCCCAGATTGTCACTCTCAGGGCTGATAGAAATGATTAGTGTGACTGTTTCGTAGAAGACAAATCTTCCTTCAGACCTTATCTCGCTTGGCAGCAGGTATTATGAAAAGTCGCTTGCCGTCAGTTTCACGTGTGTTGCACCGGAAATCGGGACTAAGGGACATTGCGACTACGAGTATAAACACACAGAAGGCGCGTAACGTATTGCCTACATGCGCGGAGAGCGATGTCAGGCACTGCCAGAGTAGCCTATATATGGAGTAATATGAAACAAGCAAAAAAACGCAACTTCGTTCGAGCTATGGCATAAACAAATGGCGATGGCAGGCGGAAGAAACCACGACGGTGGTAATTTGCCAAGAATGACGGGGCATTCATCATTATATTTTCTGGGGCTTTAATAAATAAACAGAATATGACATATACTGAGAGAGAGAGAGAGAGGTAAGTTTATTTACAGAAAGGCAGAGAGGTCGGCCTGAGCGATAGCTTGCTCTAGCCTGCTACTCTACACTGGGGGAAGGGAAAGGGGAAAAGAAAGATTAGTGAATGACGATGGTGAGATAGAGTGGTGAGTATGTAGTGTTTCTGGCACATCACAGTGTTCACAATTAGGACCGGTGTCACTGCGACCGATGATATGTGCGTAACGTCTGGTGTACGCTACACCAAGACGAATGCGGTGGATCATACTTGTGTGTTGCCGTTTCAATTTAGGGGGCATGCGGAATCTCATTTCCGGGTCCCATTTGTGAAGTCGCTGGTGTCGCCGTTCCGGTTTGGTCTAGTGCTGAAGTGTGTAGCTGTGCATCACGCAGCGAAGCAGGGCGTTCGTGTCAGCTCGTGAAAACGCAATGCGTACTTCAGGGGCACTGCTTAAGGCATTTTTAGCTTCAGCGTCTGCCTCTTCGTTTCCCATCACGCCGCAATGAGCACGAATCCACTGGAAAGTTATAAGATGACCATTTGTTGAAGCAACCTGAATAATTTCTGTGATTTCTATTGCCAAGCTGTAATACGGACCTTGCTTTAGGATGCAATTAATGGTTTGCAAAGTGGGTTGGGCATCACAGAAAATCGTCCAGGCTCGAGGTCGCTCTCCGGAAATGAATCTTATTGCCTCCCGGATAGCGACATGCTCTGCGGCAGTTGATGTGGTTTTATGGTCCACTTTGAATCGTCGAGCGATATCCATGTCTGGGATGACAAAGGCTGCGGCGGAGGTGTTAGGATACAGATGCTCAAATGCCAATACAGGCCACGCAAGTACAATGTAACCAGTCATTGGCTTTCCTCACGTCGGAGACTCAGTGGCCTTCACTACCGTCAAGAGCTATGATAGCGCCATCATCACATAGTGCCCCTACCACCAACGAAGAAAACAAGAAGATGGACAACGGAGATGTCAAGGCTATGCTTAAAAATTTGATGGGTTCGATGCGTAAGATTCTCAGCAGCCTAAACACTTCCACTGCTAAGGCGGCTGTGCAGCTACTTGAGGTTTTGGAGCCTCCTCTACTGGTTCTTCAGTAAGTGAACATGGCACTGATATTCGAAGAACGCATGCGCCAGTCGCTTGTTATGCAATGGAATGCTCGTGGCCTACGCGGCCGTCTGTCAGACTTCAGGCAATGGGTTTTTAAATATCAATTTCCTGTTATCGTTATATGTGAACCGAATATGGTTTCATCTTTTCGTATATCTGGATATATCCAGATTTGGTCCCGCAGTGATCAACGTACGAGCGAAGTTCTCGTTTGTATACGCCGTGATTTGACGTTCTTGAGACATGAAGTCGCGTCACATACCAGCAATGATTACGTGAGCCTGACTATAACACATAAAAAGTGGACATTCTCACTAATAGGAGGATACATACACCCAAGCGCACAGATGGACTGCCTCCACCTGGGGACCATTCTCCAAGCAGCACAAAGGCCACACATTGTGATCGGCGATTTTAATGCACATCATCCTCTCTGGGGTAGCACTGCAATGAATTATCGCGGAAGGGATTTGGCCAATTTTATATGCAACTATGGACTAAGCGTACTCAACGACGGATCACCTACATTTGTTCGTGGCACGTCCTACAGCAGCTGCCTCGACCTCTGTTTCGTTTCCTCTGTTTCGTTTCCAGAAGCCTCCTGTCTTCCGCATGTTGGTGCACAGATTTGGACACTCGCGGCAGTGACCACCTTACAACCTATGTTCAGTTCAGGTGGTTTCGCCGCACACACACACGCTACATCCGTCAAACCGACTGGACACTGTTCAAGGCATCTGTCAAGTCTGGCTGTGAGCACACCACTGATCCATCTGAGGTAGAGAACATCATTGCTTCTTCACTGCGTGACACAACCAAACAGGTTAACCTACCGATGCAGAGATCAGCAGTTGACTCCCAATACGAGGCCCTTCGTGCAATCCGTCGCCGTGCCGAACGCCGATACAGACGAACGAAGTCACCTTCAGACCTTTCCGCCTGTCGTAGAGCTCAACGACATGTTCTTCGGCATCTTGACAAGATTGACAGGCAACGTTGGAGAAAGTTTTGTGGATCTCTGGACCCCAGGCAACCTCTATCTAAGATCTGGCGGGTGGTACGAAGTTTGCAGACAACTCCCGAACAACGTCAACCATTTCAAGCTGTTGCTCTACATCAGGGACGGACAGAAGTTGAGATAGCCAGTGAATACTGTAGCCTCATCGTGGACAGCACTGATGGTCTTGCCTCTAATGAGCCTCTTACTACCGTTGCGCCTCCATCGTCTGACGAGCGCCTTGATGTACGTTTTGCAATGCATGAGCTTGACGCTGCGATTTCTGCCTCCCGCCGATCATCGGCACCAGGACCTGACGGAATCACGTATGCTGCACTCAACCATCTTGATACAGAAGCACGACGTATCCTGTTATCTCATTATAACACCTCATGGGAGTCAGGAGAAGTCCCAACTCATTGGAAATGCAGTCGCATTATTGCATTGCTTAAGCCTGGGAAGTGTCCTTATGCACTTTCCTCCTACAGACCAATCGCCTTAGCCAGCTGCGTCGGAAAAGTGATGGAAAGAATGGTACTGTCAAGATTAGAGTGGCTTCTAGAGAGGAACAACTTCTTTCCTGATTTTATGAACGGCTTCAGAAGAGGCCGATCTGCCATTGATGGTGTGGTTGACTTGATCACCAGCGTTGAAGAGGAAAGAAGCCGACGCAGACTAGTGGCGGCGGTCTTCTTAGACATTAAGGGTGCCTACGATAATGTGCTGCATTACGCGATCCTTGACGCACTGGAAGATTTTGACATCGGTGGACGACTTTACGCTTGGATTTTTAGCTACTTTAGGGACCGCACCATTTACATGACGACAAATAACGGAGACACCGATCGATATAAGGTTCATCGTGGTGTTCCCCAAGGAGGAGTTCTCAGCCCGATCCTATTCAATGTCACAATGATCGGCCTAGCAGCAGAACTTCCCAGCACGGTGAAGATCAGTGCATACGCTGGTGACATATGCATATGGGCATCCGGAACTACTCGTCCGCAATTGCGAGCTCGACTACAGCGTGCAGTAATGATCACATACAAATATCTACGACGTCAGGGGCTCACTCTTTCAATCGACAAATGCGCAGTGCTTGCGTTAACGCGCAAGCATATGTCGAAATACCCGATATTCATTAATGGGACAGCAATACCTGCTGTAACGCACCACAAGTTCCTTGGGGTTGTCGTACACAGAGATCTATCGTGGACGAGGCATGTCGCAGTACTTAAATCTAAATTGAAGAGCTTTGCTCTCGTTCTTCGCCACGTAGCAGGAGCAAGATGGGGCCCGACAGAATCATCGCTACTTCGATTGTACAATGCTCTATTTGTGGGATACATTCGATACAGCATGCCGGTGCTCTCCAATATGAGGCCTAGTTGTGTGAAGACGTTAGAGAGTGTTCAAGCTCAATGCTTACGAAGATGCTTGGGTCTACCGCGCTGTACTTCAACAAATGGTACAATCGCAGAGGCTCGGCCTTGTCCCATCAGTGTATACATGCTCTGCGAGCCACTTAGAGTTCACCTCCGATTGCTGAGCAGACACAGACAGCACCCACTGTCAGTACTACCGGCCACTCACCCAGATTGCAGTTTCTCAAGAGTAATATCGCGGCATGAAAACATTATACCATCAAGATTTTCTCCGCCACATGCCCCTGCAGTGCCTCCATGGGTCCTGCCTAAACCACCTGTTTCATTTACGATACCTGGAATCACGAAGAAGTCGCTCATTTCTTCTGTTGGCCTCAGACAGCTGACCCTATATCACATTTACACAACATACAGTGATTCTCTGCACGTGTACACCGACGGATCCACCACGCTAAAAGACATATACTGCGTTCGTATGTGCTCTTTGGCATTGGCCAGATGTCTTCACTCATCACGTGTTCTGCGCGAAACATAAGTGAACTTCTCTCTTACGAAACATTCCTGTGTGTGGTCTTGCAGTGAATACGCGCTTGAAGCCGTATGCACAAAGACCTCTCTTACGTAAACGCTATTCTTAGATACAACATGTGGTACACACCCACAAGAAAGAGCATGATACGAATGGGTATGCATTTAAGTTACTTGGCATAGTTGATGGCAGGAGGTTTCTTGAATACCAATGAGAAGACAACGAAAGAAGCTTGGTTGCATGGTAGCCTGGCAGTATACAACACACCTGGAATTGAGATTGTGCTGTCATGGCGAATCCCTTTCTGTGTCATTTCAGCATCATGTTTAGAGCGTCAGTAACATGCTTACTCTCTGTTGCCCTGTCACAGACGTCCGCGGTTTTCGCGCGTCTCTTCGACAATCATAATGCGAAAACAACAACAGATAAACATCACCTTCGCGACGTTTCGCACCAATCACAGTAATATCTCGCCAACGGCATGCCAAAGATGAACAGCAGACACTGTTGTTATTAAGGCTCATAGTAAATAAAGCATGTCTGCAGGTATCATTCACCTCATCTCTCCCCTTATCGTTTTACCTTTATTTTGTGGCGTACGCTTATAGGTCGTCAAAACTTGTGAAACTCACTCAAGCTCACTCACGAAGTATATTTTGACCTTTGCACTCATTCGGACTCACACTGAAGAAAATTTTCTTCAGCCAACCTCACTAAGATTCAAACTCGCCAAACATTTCTCACTCGGACTCACTCAGACTCACGGCTCGATCTGAGTGAGCGAGTCTGAGTGAGTCGACACACGAGTCCGTCAGTCTAGAATTTGCTTCTTCAACCATGATGTCAATGCTCTTTAATACCATTATCTCACGTAATCAGTGCATTTCTTGGTGCCGTTTGACATAGTATCGTCTAAAACGAGTTCTCAGTGCCTTCAAAGCAGTAAGAACATTTTTCTAAGAAGATATTAGAACACAAGATATAATAATCAAAAGGTTTCTTGAAAAAGTTGGTGAGGGAGGTCAAGCCAACCCCCAACTAATTCAAGCCACTAATGATTGAATATTTAGAGGGTGTATGAACGACTCTGCTTTGGAATACCTGTTAATAGACGCGACTTTACACGTGAATCCAAGGCTCAAAGTAGTTGATTGATATGCGGGGTTTGACGTCTCAAACTACCCTATGACTATGAGAGACGTCGTAGTGGAGGGCTCCGGAAATTTCGACCACCTGGGGTTCTTTAACGTGCACCCAAATCAGAGCAAACGGGCCTAAAGCATTTTAGACTCCATCGAAAATGCAGGAGCCGCAGCCGGAATTAAATCCCGCGACCTGTGAGTCAGCAGCCGAGTACCTTAGCCTCTAGACCACCATGGCGGGGCAGGCTCAACGTAGTGCTGAAGATGACTAGATAGGACCTTAGGTTGGCGAAAGAAAGTGAAACTGACTCAGACACACTCAAAATATATATTGTTTGTTTTAGGCTCCCTCAGACTCAGACTCATCAAAATTTTCCTGAACCGAAATCACTCGGACTCATACTAACTAAAATTTTCTTCAACCGAAACCACTCGAACGAAGACTCACGAAAATATGAATTGCCCGGACTCACTGAGACTCCGACTCCCGGCTTGATCTGAGAGAGTGGACTCATGAGCGAGTTCGTCGACCTATGCGTACGCTGCGTGTCAAGCATTGCTGCAACGAGGAGCGCTGTGGATTGATCAACTGAAAAAAGTTCGTGGAATGTTCTGCCATCACCGTTATCATCATCAGCCTGACTACGTACCATGCAGGACAAAGGCCTTTCTATGATACGCCAGTCAACTCAGTGCGGTGCTTGCTGCTGCCATTTTATACCCGCTGTCACAAACGAGCGCTCAAGAAAGCGCGCGCCTCCGAATGCTAGCAACGGCGATAATACCAGACGCCGCTCGGACGCTTCAGAAGCCAGCGTAAAAGAAGAAAAAAGCATCAGGACTCCTTGGGCGCGCTGTCTGCTCCCCCACAAAGCGGCATAGCTACGCTGACCAACCTCATCGCACCTATCGCCGCGCGATCTCCGGAATGATTCAGAAGCAAAGCGTGAGTCACTCCCTAGTTGCGTCACGTGTCGCGGATAGTTGGAGGGAAGTCTCGGCCCTTCCCCAGCTTTGGCTGTTCAGCGCGCCCACGAAGTTTCTGGAACCAAGGGCGAACGTATACAAGCGAGCAGCGTATGGTGGTGATCAGGAGATGAAGTGAGTTTGCTGCCGTCAGGCGAAGTGCTTGTGTCTTCAGTGACAAAGCAGGGGATGAAGAGTGTCATTCCGCCAGTGCGCGGAGGCTTGTGCTGCAAGCAGGAGAAGAGTGTGTAATTACCACCAGTGGGCGAAGATGCGTTCTGTAGTTGCAGCGCGTGAGCGGCCGACGTGTTACCGGCGAAGAGTTTTGTTATTGAAGTGCGGACATTTGACAAAGGGAGGTTTACTGGAATAGAAACTTAGGCAGCAGTAGAACAACAACTAGCGCTGGGCTTTGAGTGAGTGGTTCTTTGAAGAGAATAATACAAACTTTGTTGCAGGAACTTTCGACTGAATAAGTTGACAAACTTCTTTAGTATTTAAGTGTCTTGGTTAGCGCATGAGATTGCATTGTAGCGCTTGTTGTTGTTTGTGCCCGTTGTTTTGAGTATATATTGTGGCGTTGTGTACCCATCGTATAGAGTACCTTGTGATCGGAGATGTCTTGTATTGTAATTATTGCCAACAGTGCATATTTGTGTGTTGTTCGATCTGCCATTATTGGGAATATATTTTTGCTTGGATAAAAACTCTCGGCTCTGACTTGTTCTATAGATCACAGCTGGCATTCGCAGCACGCCGAATGGGACCACATCTTAATTGTCCGTGCTGTCGTGGTGCAGTTCGTAGGGCCGATACTTCAGCCTTTATTAGCCCGTCGATTGCCTCCCTAATTAACGGGACTAGTGACAATCAATCTGGCGTCCACGACAGGACCATTTTGGTGCACAGTGTTTTCAAAGTAGGAGGAAAGAGTCTTGAGTCATTGGTAGTGCTATCGAAACGAGTTTTTGTGTGTTGCACGGCGTTCTTGCTAACGAGTGTGCAAAGGGTGTTTCGATAGCGAGAGTTAAGCAGATATTCTGCGCACGTGGCTGAGTTTTATTTGCGAGAAACTATGGATTTGGAGAAGCTAGTAACTCTCGGTGAGAAGATGTGTCGTTCTGGCGCCGAACTACGGAAATGGGTGATCCAGAAGGAGAAAGAGGCGGCGGAAAAAGAGAGGTTGGCAGCTGAGAGGGTGAAAGAAGAAAGAGAGGCGAAGGAGCGACAGTTGAAAGAAGATAGAGAACAGCAATTGAAATTGGAGCTGAAAAAGAAAGGCTGGCAGCTGAAAGGGCGAAGGAAGAAAGAGAAGCTGAGATGGCTGAGAGAGAAAGGCAGTGGCAGCACGAATTGGAACTTGAGCAGCTTCCTTTTGAACAGCGAAGTGAAACTCCCGTCCAGGCTAAAGTCGAACGCAGTGCAAGGGAAGATAATAGCTTCCGTTTGAATCCAAGCAAGCTACTCGTAGTGTTTGATGAAAGGAAGGACTACCTTGATGCGTACTTTGACAGATTTGAAACTATTGCTAGGAGTCAGAATTGGCCGGAACATCAATGGGCAATTGCTTTGAGAACCAGCTGTGTAGCGAAGCGCTCACCGCGTACTGAAGGCTGACGCTACCGTGATGTTCCGTGCAGGGATTTTTTCCCCTTTTCGGGAAATTTTTGACTGCCATTTCGAGCCAAAGGGAAAAAAGGAATCTTAGTGTTATTGCGGGGGATTTCAGGAATAATTAAATTCTTCTATGACGACCGATAACTAGTGGTCACAGTGCGCCTTCATCTGCTGTAATCGGTTCGAGCGCATGCACCACGCATGCATAGCATTTGAGATTTGTTTCTTATATTTACGCGGAGGATCGATTTGTAGTTCACTAGTGGTGCTATACTTGAAGCCCACAATGTGCAGTGCACTAACTGTATATGAATCAATAAAGTGATGCTTTTGTTGTGCGGCAGCGGAGGGGCTAGTCATGATTTCAAAAGTCGCCAGTACGTGAGACACGTATAAATATAGTATGTATGTGCGTGGATGGGGGCGCAACAATTAGTAAGCTGTGCAGAAAATTTCGCGGGGAATTTAGTCAAAGTTTGCAGGAAAAATACCAGAAATAGGGAATTTTCATGTCTCTGATTGGGAATTCATAGACGTGGTACGGAACACCACTGACGCCAACCGATGCAGCGAACTATGCTAAAGTGAAAGCTGCTCTATTGAAGCGATTCAAGTTCACTGTAGATGGCTTCCTGGACAAATTTTGGACAGGAATGCCTGCTGACGGTGAGACGGCTACGCAGTATGCCACCCAACATAGCCATTATTTTGACTGATGGATCGAGCTTTCAGGGACAGCACAGGGGTATGTTGAGCTTTGAGAACTCCTTATTGGAGAACAATTTCTCATCAGCTGCCACCCGAACCTGTCACTGTGCTTGAAAGAGAGGAGAACTAAATCGCTTGAAGACATGCTTGAATTGGCCGATCAATTCTTGGAAGCACATAGTGGCACAAATTTGGCCAAGGTCAAGAAGGAGTGTCCCAAAGATTCGATGACATCGGCACCCGAAGAAAAGAAGCAGGCACAGGAGAGTGTTATGCGATGTTTTCTGTGTAACTGAGTGGGTCATTGTGCTAACATTTGCCGAGCCAACTTTGCGCGTCTGTAACGCAAAATTTTAAATCTGGAGACTAGACACAAAGCAGACGCATTTCGTTAGGAAGTGGACAAAACCCTCCAAGTAGTCTGTGTGCATGCGCCACCAAAGGACAAAGAGGAAGAGATCATCAACGGGCTTGTGGAGTTGATAAAGGGAAAGAAACTTCCTAATGTTGGTGCTGTATTGACAACACGGCCAACAAGTGTTACGAAGGGAATCCCAATGCTGCCTGGAAATATTGTCGGCTAAATTACGCTGTTAAGAGACAGCGAAAGTTCCACTGTTATTGTAGGGAGAAACTAGGTGCGGGAAAGCGAGTTAACAGGCAGAACTAGGCCAATTTCCCTGATTGACGATTCGGTCCGGATGCTTCCTGAAACTCAAGTTAAGGTTGAGACACCTTACTTTAGCGGCAAAGTTGCTACCCTGTGCATGACTATCCCCCTGTACGACACCATTGTCGAAAACATTGACAGAGCGCGATGGCCGAACGATCCAGAACGTTTGGGGGAATACCCGAAGAAAGAGCCCTCGCCGACACAGGAACCACGATGTACAGTGGAGGAGCATTCCACGACGTATTTCACCCGAGCTCAAGATGAAGCCGTTGTGAAAAGGAAAGGCAGTTATGAGGTCATCGTGATGGACAAAAAAAGTACCGAAAAACTGAGACTGCGGGAAAACGACCTCAATTGACCAAGAGTGCAAAGGTGACGAAGTTAGTATATAGGCACACTCCATGCCGCGACGCGAGAGAGCTGGAGAAGAACCGACAATGACCAGCTGAACATGATGACACCTCAGCATATTCGAAAGTGTCACCGATGGCAGAGACACCGCCTTAAATACCGTCGTTTGAAATGGCACGTCAGAAGAGAAAGAAGAAAAGTAAGAAAATATCGAGCGAGCACCGTAAGAAAGGGCGCAAGCGCAGCTCGAAGTACACAGGATAGGTGTTGAAGTTAAATGTGAAAGTGGTTGGCAGTGTCAAACCTCAATGTATTGTGTTGTTGTTATCCTGTGTCGTGTATGTCGAGAGAGCCTCAGTGTCAGTTGTGGTGGCGTGATGTCATTGATATAACTGTACAAGTGTGGTGAAGGCAGACCTTTGTATACGTCTGAAGTGTTTGAAATGTGTGATGGAGTTTGTACTCATGTACCTGTAGTTATATTTCTTGTGTTGTGACATTCTGCCACAGAGCTACGCCGGTGCTTCTTTCTTGTGTTGTGAAATATATTGAATGTTTCATTGGGATCGTTACGAGCCGTGAGTGGTGAACTGAGTCAGGGACTCCGTATGTGGGAATTTTGTAATCTAGTTGTTTGTTAGCGCTCATTTGCGTGGTTTTGAATATTATGAGATGCAATTGGCTCCATATTTGCCCCCGATTGCCTCCTGACGAAGAGCAAGCTCATTGGCCTGTAATTTTTCAATCCTTTGTCATCTCATTTTTTTAGTATTAAGATGATGTTAGCATTCTTCTAAGATTCTGGTACCCTCCCTGCCAGGAGACGTTTCGTAAACAGAGTGGCTAGTTTTTTTTACACAATCTGTCCTCCGTATTCGAGCAGATCTGATCTTACCCAATCCTCGCCAGCAGCTTTGCCTCTCTTCATTCCCTCCAAGGTTTTTCTTACATCTTCTGTCATTACTGGTGGGCTGTCATTTGGGTTACTGCTAGTTCTTACATTATGGTCGTCGTTGTCCTGGCTACTCTACAGATATCTGTAAAACTCCTCTGCTATTTTAACTATCCTATATTCATATTAGTAGTTACTTTGCCTTCCTGATTCCTTTGTGCATACATATGGTTTTTGCTTATCCCAAGTTTCTTTTTCTTCGCTTTGACGCTTCCTCCGTTCTTTAGAGCGAGTTCGATTCTCTGCATGTTATACCTTGTTGCATCAGATTTGATTGCTTGATTGATATGTCGAGTTTAACGTCCTTAAACCACCATATGATTATGAGAGACGCTGTATTGAAGGGCTGCGGAAGTTTCGGCCACCTCGGGTTCTTTAACGTGCACCAAAATCTGAACACATGGGCCGACAACATTTCCCGGAAATGCAGCCACCGCAGCCAGGATTCGATCCCGCGACCTGCAGGTTGGCAGCCGAGTATACTCTAGCCACTTGACCATCGCGGCGTGTTACGCTTATTAATGAACTTCGAAAGCTCTGCCAGTTCTATTTCGTTTGTCGTGTTTGAGGCTTTCATGCTTTGACGTTTCTTGATGAGATCCTTTGTCTCCTGGGACAGGTTATGAGTGCCCTGTCTAACTACCGTGCCTACAATTTCTAAAGACTCCGTAATTATAATCGTCTGATTATCATTAACTTCGTCAACGCTAAGGCAGTTTTCCACGATAAGTGCTGAGTATTTGTTCTGAAGCAAGACTCTGAATTTCTGTACTTTCCATCTCAGTGCTTGCTCATTGACGGTCTTCTTGTGTATCAGTTCCTGTCAATCCTTCTTCAAGTCTAGGCCAATTCAAGACCTTACCATTCTATGGTCCCTGCATCGTACCTCGCCAGGCACTTCCACATTCTTCATGATGGCTGGGTGTGCACTTAGTATAAAATCTATTTCGTTCTTTTTTTCGCCACTAGGGCTCCTTCATGTCCACTTACGGTTCCCTCATTTTCGGTAGAAGGCATTCAAGATCCGTAAATTATTGCGTTCTTTGAATTCTACTAATAACTCCACTCTGGAATTTCTTGTACCGATGCCATAATCTTCTATTTCCCTGTCTCCAGTCTGCTTCTTTCCTACCTTGACATGCAAGTTGCCCGTAATATAGCATATACTGTGTTTTTACCTTACTCATTGCCGATTCTACGTCTTCATAGAAGCGTTCAACTAATACGTCCTCATGACTGGATGTAGGTGCGTAAGCCTGTACTACGTTCATCTTGTATCTCTTATTAGGTTAATTATGGCACATACCACCCTCTTATTATTGCTATAGTATTCCTCTATGTTACCAGCTATACTTCTGTGGATAAAGAATCGCACGCCCCGTTCTCTTTTGTCATCCAAGCCATAATAGCAAAGGACGTGGCCATTCTGTAGCACTGTATATGCGACATGTGTCCTCCTAACCTCACTGAGCCCTATTAAATCCTGTTTAACACCCTCTAGCTTCTCAAATAGCACAGCTAGACTTGACTCACTAGATAAGGTTCTAGCGTTAAACGTTGCCAAGTTCAGGTTCTAATGGTGGCCTGTTCGAACCCAGAGATTCTTAGCACTTTCTTCTGCGTTGCAGATCTAACCACCGCCATGGTCAGCTGCTTCGCAGCCGCTAGGGGCTGAGGGGAATACTCTGTAGCTGCACATAAATGGTTGCGTTTCATGTAAAAACACACGTGTGGCTTTCAGAGCTATACAGAGAAGTCTGTCTGTCTGTCTGTCTGTCTGTCTGTCTGTCTGTCTGTCTGTCTGTCTGTCTGTCTGTCTGTCTGTCTGTCTGTCTGTCTGTCTGTCTGTCTGTCCGTGCATCTGTCCATCCACTCATCCGTCCGTCCATGCGTTCATCCATCTAGTGAACACTCCAAGTACCCCCATCTCACATCTTTTCATCATATATTCATCATATGCAAGTACCGCCATCCAGCGGACATTCTAAGGTATAAAATGAGAGGTAGCTACCATATACCGGGGATGCACGACCTACGCCTTAAGAAGCTTCGCCCCTAAAATTTCATTAACAGGCGACAAACAATGACAGCCCCAAATTCAACCGAAAGTATAAAGCTAGTGGAGTTTTCGAAGTTAATTAACGGGCGCATTGTATCCGACATAAGAAGGAATAAAATAGAGAGAATTGAGCAGGCTGTAAAAAGTGGCAGGAGCCTAAAAGCTGCTAAGCAAAACTTCTGCATAGGCTGAAGTTGGATGTACACATTAAGGGAGAAGAAAGACAATCTAATAACCAAAATAGATAGGATAGTTAAGGTGGTGGAGGAGTTCAACAGAGAGCTGTACAGATGCCGAAACAAGCAAGATTATATTGTGAGAAGTAATGATAGGCCAGAAGGATTCGACATCCTACCAGTAACGACAGAGGAATTAAGCAAAGCGGTATCGAAGGAATGCAAAAATCAAAGCTGCTGTTGAGGATAACGTAACCAGAGACCTGCTGAAAATAGTGGAGAAATTGTGTTAAGAAAACTGCCCACCTTATATACGAAGTGTCTCTTGCGGGAAGGGTACCATACTTTTAGAAGAACGCCAAAATCATTTTAATATTGAAGAAAAGAGACGTCAAGGACTTGCAAAATCGCAGGCCGATCAGCTTTCTGTTCATTCTGTACAAACTATTTACTAAAGTAATAGCTAAGAGAATTAAGGCAACATTAGAGTTCAATCAACCAAACGACTAAGCAGGATTTCATACAGGTTACCCCACAATAGACCATACTCGTACTGTCAATGAGGTAATACAAAAATGCGCACAATACAACCAACCCCTATACGCAGGTTTCATAAATTACGAGAAGGCGTTTGATCATTGCAGGTACTACAGAATTAGGGCACCAACGGACCCTGCATAGACATACTAGAAGAAATCTACAATGGATCCACAGGCACCATAGTTCTCCATAAAGAAAGTGACAGAAGTACAATAAAGAAGGGTGCAAAGCAGGGAGACATGATCTCTCCAATGTTATTCACTGCGTGTTTACAGGACGTTTTCAGGACTGGGAAGAGTTAGGAGTTAGGAATGAGAGTTAATGGCGAGTATCTTAGTAACCTGCGATTCACTGTTGAAATTACCTGGATGAGTACCTCAGGGAATGAATGACAGATCATAATTATTCATCTGAACACGAAAAGTAGAAGAGTAAGTTTGAAAATTAATATGCACAAACCTCAATTATTGCACAACAGTCTCGGCAGAAAACAGCACATTGCGATAGGTGGAATGATGCTAGAAGTTGTGAAGGAATATGTCTACTTAGAACAGGTAGTAACCGCGGAGGCGAATCATAAGAGTGAAATGACTAGACGAACAATGATGGGGTGGATCACATTCTGCAAACATTATCAAACCATGAATGGTAATCTGCCACTAACACTCAAGAGAAAAGTATACAGGGTGCGCCAGCAATCTTTAGCCAGAGATTAAATATACGGCAACACATGCAACTACCACGCGACCAAATGCGGTTGCTAACCGTTACCAGGAGTACGTCACACAATTTTTTTGTGTTACAAATATCCTTTAACTAGATCTGTTTAATTAACTAACTTTGGAATGAACGTTTTTCATACAAGCTATATCACTGCAGTGAATCTGTAGCAAATTGAACAAGCAATCAATCACCTTCATGCGTATATTTAATCAACCTTGTTTACCATAGATATGTGGCAAGGTGACTACAGATTTTTTCAAGTATACATTGATGCCAATGAGAGAAACGAATGCATTAATACTAGTGGCAACGCCTCACTAATTATTATTATTATTATTATTATTATTATGATTATTTTATCATTATTTGATTTGCATACACAGATACACAAGGACACTGAGAAAAAAGGGAGAGAGCAAGCTGGCAACTGCCACCTTGAGGGGCACAATGCCTGCTCATTCTTTCGAAAGGAGAGAAAAAACAGAGCAAGCGTAGATAAGATATCAGAAAGAGGAAAGAAGAAAGGGAAGTAAAGACAAAAAATGACGAAGGCTTAGACAAGTAGAAACCAAAAAATTAAAAAATTGGACTATAAAAAGGTGGCCAGGTCCAGTTGGTCCATAAAAAGTAAGGAGAGCTTGATGGGCCTGGTCACGTCGGGAAGCACAACCTCTCAGAAAGAAGTCGTGCACTTAAGCCCCGGGAATTTATATTCCTTAATCAGTAAAGCCCGCTGCGTAGCAAATGCAGGACAGTGCACTATGAGATGCTCAAGTGTTTCGCAGGAGCCACAGGCAGCGCACCAAGGACTGTCAACACGCCCTTGTTGTAATTGTTCACGCACCAGCACAGAGCCCCCTCTTAGTTTGCATAACGGCGCTCTGGAACGACGAGGCAAGCCAAGGCCACGAACACGGCGAGGGAACAATGCCTTCGCCACACGTTGGTCTGGGTGCTGCTTTAGGAGGTGTCGGCGTATAAGCAGACGAGCGTTTTCCCTCGTACATGGAATTCCCGGACAGTCGTCATGGTTGCAAGACGAAGCAAGGCGATCCGCTTCTTCATTGCCCGCACGTGGGCATTGCGTGCACAGCACTGCTCACGCTTAAATAATTCATCGTCCAAAAAGAGCAGTTTTCTCATTTACTGATCAATGTGGACACATGCGCAGATTGTTTGAAGCGAGAACTCAAGGAAGAGCGCAGTTTAAGACCATCAGCACGCCTTCAACATTACTGCAGTAACAAGTTAAGACGCTGTCAATGCCGAATGTCCTTCTACACCGTATCGATTAAGCAGAGAGAAATTAAAACGACCCGAGCATTTACCTCATGGAATGTTATTTAACGCCCATCTACGCTGCAAAACACAGTTTTCACTTCATTCAGCCACCCACCAAGATGCCCTGCTGTTTGCTTTCCCAGGTTCCGCGTGCACGGAAAAAAATAAAACGATCACAACACATTCCGTCGAATGCTTGAAAGGGAAAAGCGACGGCAATACCGACATCACCAACATAGGCATGTGTTCGGGTTGCCATGTTCTCTTTAGCAGCTGTGCAGCTGTGCTAAGCGCTAAGAATGCACATTTTTCAAAGTTGCTGAAAATTCCTCTTATGTTTGATGCCGAAGATATGACGTTCACGACATGAGCCATTGAGGAAGAAAGAAGATAGAACTGAGAATCGCGTGAAGTAACTGGCTTTATCCAGCCTTATCCGTTATCACGGGTGAGTGCGAAAGCCTCTTGCAGAAGTTGAAACGTGGTAACAAACTGTAGGAGCCAAAATAAAACCTGAGAACGCACGCGACAACATACGTTCAGCGGCCCTCGCACAATATAAAGAATATCACAGTCAGATATAATGTGCGCATTGTGTTTTCTGCTCCATGCGAATTGGTCAGGATTTCCCCTTTGATGACAAATAAGCAGCCCACAGCATTCTCCAAGAAGCTCACCACGCGATATGCGAAGTGGATCAACAATGTGGTATACAATATTTTCTTAAGCTGCAGTAGGGTGTACATTTATTGGCCAAAGGCCAGTGTTTCAACGATAGTGCAAGGGAGCACCGCTTGGGGATCAGCAACAACATGGACGGGAACTTGGCCGACCGCTGCAAGGACGCCCCTCTTCAGTGAAACCAGGTTACTTAGAAGGACCGGTAGCCGCGCCGAAAGAGAGACAGTTGAGACATTCGTCATAAAAAGGGCAGTTAGCCAGTGTGTTAGTGCCCCTTCACTT